GCAGGGTACAGATGATAAGGGTTGTTTTGGACGACACAGGGACTCCGAGTATGTGTGGTCGAGAGCGAATAGGTAGCGCAGGGGCAATTCGACTAGTAGAGGCGACGGTCGGGGACAGGTCTGTTCTCAGTCTAGTGGAAGTTGAGGCTCATAACCTGTTGGAAGATTAGGCTATCTAGTTTGCATATGAAGAAGAAGGACTGTGTACACGAGAACATGGAAATCTATGTGGAAAACTCTCGCGCGCCTAATTCCCTTCTTCGCCTATTTCTACCACTACAAGTTCACGCCGGGATACCACAACAGGCCCGAGGGTGGGGGTTGAGAACTTTCTCCCATCTAGGCCCTAGGACAAGTGCTGAACAGAAGTAGCTCGAAACTGGGGTACGGCCGAGGCGGTGTAGCAGATATCTACGAAATGACATCCTCGCCATCTAACGACACATCATGCATCATCCAGCCCGCGCTCCCCACCGGATCTTGGCCGGCAGACGCCAGTATCGACACCTCCCTCCCCGCCGCTTCCCTCTCCCCCAGTCCCGATCCCGACACCACCGAGAGCGCTTCTGCTAGGAGAGGGAGAAACGCCAGGATTGGCGTTGGGGTTACGCTTGGGGTTGTCCTTCTTGGGTTGGGGGTATGGTGGGGAATAAAGCGACGGAGACGGAGTAGAATGATGAAAGAGGAGGAGGAGAAGGCAGAACAGCCCGAATCACAGTACCTCCACCCCTCTTTGTCGAAGCACATATCAAAGTCGAAACGGAGTATCCACTCGTCCGCCGGTTCTACCGTCGTCCCCTTCTTATCATCATCTTCCCCCGCCCCTTCGCCTCCCACGCCCTCCCATGCCCTCCGGAATAGACCCTACTCGCTCGATCTGGCCTCCCTTGTGGATATCCCGGATTCTGGGGAAGGTGGGAGAGACAGGAGAGGTGGAGGGGAGGGGGTGAATGCGGCGACGAGTAGAATCAGCTCGACGAGGGGTTTGGCGGAGGATCTTGTTGGGTTTGGGGCTGCCTCTACCGTCAGTGAAGCTGGAGGAAATAGCGCTCCCAGTAATGGTCCCAGCTCTCGTCCTGCTCCTTTGACATCGAACGACCACAGTCGCTCTTCATCGCCTACCATAATTTCATTCATCTCGTCACCACCTTCACCCGTAACGAACACCGCCCAACCTTCTTCTTTACATGCTCGCTCTGACTCCCGAGTGATAGGAGAGGACGAGGAACGAGCAGATGGAGAATTGGCCGAAAGAGCAAGAGAAGCAGAACGAGAATGGGAAGAGAAACATCCCCACCCAGGGGGTAGCGGCATGCGCCTCACGAACCCCGACAACAACCACCTCCTCCTGGCCCTCGCGCCCTCTCCTTCCCCTTCACCCTCACCCCTCCCAAACCCCACCTCCCGCTCTTCCACACCCCACCACCCCGCCCGACGTCGACCCCCTTCTCGCGCTCTCGGCCAAGGCCCCGAACGGACATACAGACGGCACGCCGACGCTGGCCGTGTCTGTCCCGTTCCGCATGGTGGGGAAGGAAGGGTGGAAGAGGGGGAGGTGGTGGATCTGCCTCCGCTGTATAGTGAAGTACCGAGGGATGGGGATTATCTTGGGGCTGCGCGGAATCCCTGATTCGATGTGGCCTTTGGGATATGTTTTGAAGGGGTTTTGGTTGCTGTTTGTTGCTGTTCTTGATCTTGCATATGGTTGATACAATATGGCATGGACATTGTACGGCAGTGTATGCTACGTAGAACGACGTCGCATGTATGCTCTTTTGATCTTGGGAGGAGAGACCGGTGAATAGATGAGGCAGGACGTCTGCTGTTTGTTCTAGTTACATATATGCACCACCCTCTCTTTCTATTTCTCGTAAGCCCTCGAGCGCCGCCGTAGAAGCACGTTCGAGTATGAGTGTTATCCTGCCCAACACCATACAGGTGGCCCAGTAGGGTATGCGAAGCCAGGTATATAACAGCATGAAAACCTTCCACATAGCTAGCATAGTGTTATATCAAGTAGATGGAGCTGATAGTCTGACTGCCCTTTTCAGTCAACAAGATACCCGTCGCCCGTGGTCGCCCCGAAGCTACAATGTGTCCCTCAACCTTTCTTCATCAGCTCGAATATATCATACCTCATCCTCTCCACCGTAGCAGCATTCGACTGAGGGCCTTGCATTATGACCTCCAGCCTCACGATCCTCTTTTCAGGCGATTGAGAGGTTGCTGCAAAAGCACGGTTGAGGATCAAGTTACTGAATCGTTCGCCGTTACAGTGGTCGTAGCTCGCCTCATCCATCGTAAAGCCATATATGATGTAGAAGAGGGGCTCGCGCGTGATTCTCATGTGCTGTCTAGTGGGATGGCATCAGTGAGAGCTTGGTATGGACGTAGAATGAGGAACACTCACGACAAGAACTCAACGACTTTATCCGTTTGTGCAATTGGCCGAGAATCCGTGCTGCCCCGGAGGCGCATTGCAATACCGCGTTGGGAGGGAGACAGTATATCGGCGAGGCCGATGTAATCGTAGTCGTCGATTACCAGTACGAGGGGCTCAGCCCTTCGGCAGATTGGTTCCAGATAAAATGGCACGCACATCCATTGCAGTCCCGGTAAATCTACTGGCTGTTGAATCGACAACACCCCAAATGGCCCCAGCATCGATTGAAATGTCTGGACTCGTTGGTCCTCGTCATCCAAGGATAACCCAAATAGAAACCTATCGGGGAGGTGTATGAGGGTGTGAGCGCGGCCATAGAAGAGGTGGCGACGGGCGGGAGAAGAGTTGTCTTGGCTGCTGGATGTGTACCCGTACCATTTCATGGGCGGGCTGTCAAGACCCTGCGCGAGAAACGCAGAGACCGCTGAATTGCAAGCCCTTGCAGTGGCATAATCCTCAAAGATGACACACTGCACATGTCCCAGCATAGCCAGCCTTCTCGCAACTGCCGACTTTTTGTCCGCTATGTCTCCTTGCCACCATTGTTCCCTCTCATCGTCATCAACGTCATCAATCTTGTGGTCGTCATAGTAGAGCGGGTAAAAGAAGCCAAAGTTATTCCGTTGGGTAAGCGTCGGTGATGCGTAAAGGAAGGGAATGAGTCTCTTGTGGAAGTAGCGGGAGACGAGCAGAAAGGTGGTGAGGGCGGAAGGGCTGGCGGTGGCGCCGACGTGTCCTAAGAGGACGTACATGACGTCTTCGGAGGGCCGTTGGGGACTGCTGGGGTCTGTGTCTGTCATGCTGACGGTTTAGGATTGCTCTATTGGGCTATAAGTCAAGCACTACAGCCGCATGATCTGCGGCAAAGAAGGCCGGCGGGAAGTTTACACGTTTACGACGCCAGACACTTATTTGACTCCGTTTTTGAAAGTCTGTCATGTGACGCTACTGCAATATCTTTGGGGTGGATGTGTGGCTAATCATACACACTCGATACATATACCTATTAGAACCAAAATTGTGCTACAGTGGATAAAGTCAAGAACCACTACAAGTGCCCCTCCAAACAGCGCCGAAGAACACGAGGATGCGGTGTCCATCGGCACAGCATAGTCTTCTTCCGATGGAACCACGAAGGCCTCGTCATCGAACCAGCGTCCGTCAACACCTACATCGCTGATCCATACAGTCATCTATGACACGAACAATAAAACAAGGAGGATTAATATCTATGAGATCCAAAACGATACCAAAAACAAAGTCATACCCCTATACACTACCGACAGAATAAAACTAGAGGTCAAGTCTCCTCAACGAGAGAGCACATTCGTAGTCGTCTGCCCCCCCTGCAAGACAGCTTCACTTTTCACATCCTCTTTGTAATCCTCCCCTGCCACTGCGCCTTGCTCTCCCTGACCCGTACTAACGTTACCTCCGATAGACTCTTCTTCCTTTCTCTCGACAGTATGGTCGTACACGCCTCGGCGGATGTCTCGTCGGTGGAGGAGGTTGACGATGGTGGCGAGGACGAGACCCATGATGACGACTATTGCCCGAGTCAGCGAGGTCTCGAACGTTTCGGAAAGATAAAGAGATACGTACAAGCCAACGTTGTCGGGAAACCTTTCCTAAAGTTCGGTCGATCCACCTGGGGGAAGATCAAGATGGAGACCCATGCGCTGAAGGCATACTGCAGTCCATTGGAGAGAGATATGACGATAGCACGCTCAAGGGGGTCGGAAGAGCAGATTTCTTGGAACCAGGCGTAGTAGATAGCGGTGACGTATTGGGCGCCAGTGATGAGGAAGGCGGCAAGTTTGAGGGGGTTGGAGGACGGCCAGATGGTGAGGACAATGTTGGGGAAGAGGGCGAGGAGGGTGGGAAGGGCGATGAGGTAGTAGCGAGAGCCAAAGTAGTCGGAAAGGAAACCCCTGTAGAAGGCGTTAACGCTGATCGAAATGTGGATGAGAGGTCAGAAGGAGGATGTACCATAGAAGAACGGTCACGGCGGCGATGACGTTGCTGATAGTAGGAATGGTGTTGATTTGAGCGACGGAGTAATCACCGGTAGACTCTGCGGAGAGAGGAGGATCATTAGCGAGAGTCAAGGGACAACAGATCAGGCTCACTAAGCCAGATGGAGGTATAGCTTCCAGATGCGCAACCAAGACCGTACATTGTATAAGTCAAAGGGATGATGTAGATGTCTTCCAGCGACGTTAGCATCGGGCTTGCACAAATGTCAAGAAAGCTCAACTCACGCCATCGCTGCAAGATCCTTTTGATGACGCCCCTATCGAGATTGCCAGGGGGTGATCGGTGAAGCTTCCTCATTCTTTCTTGAGCAAGCTCGAATTCGGCATCGGTGAGGTACCAGCGTTTTTGTCCCCCGCTCGGGTAGTCGGGGAGGAGAAAAAGGACGAGGAAGCCACAAGGGGCTGTGATGATGCCGCATACGATGCTAAATGGCTGATCAGTCCACGGATCGGGAGTCTTCGTGAATGGGGTACTTACTAGAGCCATTGCCAGCCTTGCAAGCCGTATCGTCCATCCAGCGTGGCGTAAACGGCCGCTTGCATATACCCCGAAAAGGCCGAGCCCGCCGCTGATGTAAACTACCACTTCTGTCAGTCATGGTCAATACGAAGAGGGTGCTATTGACGTGGAAGATGGCAGCTCTCTTGGCAAGCTCGGTGGGAGTATACCAGGACCCGAGGAGGTATAGACCGACGGGGAAGAAGGCCGATTCGAAGAGAGCTACTAGAAATCGGAGGGCGTACACGGAACTGGTGTTCTTGACGGCACATTGACAGAAGCTACAGGTATGTTAGAAACTATCATATCGTAAAAGGAGAAAGATTCACGTGAGGACGGCCCAAACTATCTCACAGAAGGCGAGCCAGAGAGACGGGCGGACGCGTTGGACAATCAGCTATACGCCAAAAGATCAGCATCGTGCCCACCAGCAGCTCGCAAAGGGGACGTACGGTAGATGGAACCTGCATGATAGCGTATCCGACAGTGTAGAGTGATGTAGCGTATCTGGCAATATATGAGCATGCACCCTGTTTGAGTGGAGAGACGGGACTGACGTATACTGGTTACCGTACCATCCGAGAGTTTCTTGCAGACCAGAAACATAGGCATTGTTGACTACGAGGAGAGTCAGCCAGTCGTCAGATGACAAAGAATAGTACACGCACGATTGGTTTGATCGAGATACTTGCAGAAAAAACCTATAGAGCAGGGCGGTGAGCTAGAATCTCGTTATCCCGTGCGAGAGGACACGTACCGAGACACAGACAAGGCAAAATGCAGCAGTCGAGTTTGAACAATAGACGCCTCTCCTGGGGCGACTTGAGGTGCGTGTCGCTATCCCAGATGAAACTCCTGAAAGACTGAAGGATGGTCGGCTTGTTCTTTCTCTTGACGGATTCGGCGCGGGGAGGGACCGTGTTGACGACTGGGATCGCCTCGGGGGAGAGGTCTTGCACCGTCGCAGACATGGTGGAGTCGAGTACGCTTGTGTGGTATGTGAATTAGAGGCCGGCCAGTGGCATCGGCTTTATATGAGGATAGATTAGGGAGAAGACGGAAAGAAGTGGTACTAATAATGGCGTGATAAGGCTGCAATGCTTTGAGACATCTGCGGTGATGACCGACAGCCGGGGTGGGGACCGAGATAAGGCAATTCGGTGGCATGCATCGAGTATACGTTATGGAACATGCCATATGCTGAGCTATGGAGGCTGAAAAGGAAATGAGAGAGTACATGCGGATATGGAAAAGAGTTCATACCCCTCAGACGTCGCCTGCAGCCGACTGCAATAAGAGCCAAACATTCTTTCGGCAAATTACATCCCAATCAATTGGTCCGAGTTGATTCAAGTGATATGGAGACATGTTGTCAACAGAGGTGCGCTCCAAGGTTGAAAAGAGCAAGCATAACACCCGAAATCTACGGCATTGCCACAAGTCGTCGCATGATCTCGGCTTACCGAAGTGGCGTTTGTTCATCTCGTTTTTCATCTTTGGCATCAGATCGCATTGCTGTCGACAAAATGCCTCCCTTGATCTACAGCAGTATCTTCAAGTCGTACGGCTTCGACGATGTGAGTCGCGACATTGATATTGATGGGCTCTTTTCAACCGGCGCAAGAGCCCAGCGAAGACACTTTCCGTTCTTCCCCTCTTGTCGTGCTGAGGTCGTTGTTGTAATTTATTGAGTTTATCTAGCAGAACAAATATGTACCACAGCACTCCCTAGCAAGTGCTCCCTATCAGACACCTGCCAATCTCAGGTATACGAAAGTGCAAGTCGATCCGACTTTGTAAAGGCACCGACCAAAGTTGTGCGCAGCGACTCAACAATTCTATCACAACACATTTCTAACTTTCAACAATCGGTCTTCGGTGGCATAGCCGTTTCGTTGGTGCAGTGGTAGCATGCCCTCTTAGGGTGATTTTCGAGTCGCTTTGGGGGTGGTCCTCGGTTCAATCCCGGGACGAGACCTTCTTTTTATCTTTTTTTTTTTTTCTTTTTTTTTTTTCTTTTTTTGCTTCCTTCCATCTTGCTCGCTTCTCTTTGCGCTGAGCGTCTTCTTCTGTCTGTATGGTGGTGGAGAAAAAGACAGGTATACGAGAAACAGGAGAACTGACAAATTGTGCTCTACATCAAGATACAATTCAATTAAGAGGTGTCATCAACGAGTGTTGTTCGGCGTCGCTCTAGCTTTTTTTGATCGTTGGGATGGCGATGATGGCACCTCTAGTCGGTTTGTCCCCGTCTGTAACTCAGTAATTACGGGTAAATAAGCTTGCACCTATCGCTCCTTTATGATAGAGCGCCAACTTTCGCTGGTCTTCGCAACTTGGCCTTCCATCTCAGTGATGAGCGAGATCGCGAGATGTCGGTCAGAGAGAGACAATGGACTCTGCTTTCTACCCTGCGGTCCAAAAAGGGATATAACCTTTGATATCCGATTCAAAAGCGTATCTTCCATCACGCCACCTACAATCCACAGCTGAGAAACTTATCACTCGCGCACAAATGCCACCTAGCAACAATGATAACAACACCCAGCAGTCGTCGGCTCGGGATATCGCTTCGAGGCCGTTGACTATAAACGACCTCCCTGCCGAGCTCAGGTCACACTATGAGAATCTGACGAGGGAGGTTGATAGACAGGCGGCGGCGACGGGACGGAGTAGGCAGGACGTTCTCGCAGAGTTGATGACGCAGATCCAGGCGGCGCGTAGTAGATCGGCCGGTTCGGGCCAGGGGGATGGCGGGTCGCGATAAGATAGGAGGTGGGACGCTTGTGAGGCGGGATGGAATTGTCAGCGTGTATATATCGCGTTTTGGAAGAGGTGGAGAGTGGCGCAGCTCTGTTTATGGCTGGCTGTTTGGTGATAGGGGAAGCTTGCTTGGTCGGATTGTCTAGCTCGTAGCGCATGTAATTCTGGAAGCTACCTTATAGCATGACACCTGCTACTTACTATATGCCATGTATGGAAGACACTGTAGTTGACTCGACCGCTGGATCGAGCGGCTTGTGTTGAGCCAGACTCGACCGCAGCCCTCTGCAACGGACTCGTCCCTCCGTCGAGGAATGAGATAGGGTATAACATCAAGGGACATGCATAGTATTATTACCGGAAGATGTTCCATACAGGGCTCTTGCTGCAATGCTATAGCCACACACCGCCCATCATGTACGTATTCGCCTTCTCCTTTGCTTGCACTCCAGAATCGTCTTCTGACCTTCACCGTCAGTGGCTATATGCTGTGAAGTCGCGGGTAGCCACAACCTTCTACCGAAGTAGCATTCAGTAGCATGTCGGCACAGAAGAGTACGATACTCACCAGCTGATACTGCTCCCCGTCGCTGCACCCAACGGCCGCCCGATCAGTGTTTGTCACCCCGCGCGTAGTCACCGCCTTGCATTCTATCATCCCGGCCGTACGTATGCACGCGCGGATCGGCCAGCCAAGGGATCTGCATGCATCTGTCCTCCCCATGGCCACTCCTCTGCATGCATACATATATATACCGAGCACGCTGGCAGATCTGTGAAGACTGCGCGATTTCCGGGGCTCGTTTGAGCAAACAGCACTAACCCCGCACCCCCCGCATGCTTAGCAGAATCCAAACCAGATTCGCTTTTCCCTCTCGAGCTTTTTCTATTCCTGCGCTACTCATCTCTATCATGTCTGTATCTTTACCCCTCGCCATATATCTCTGAACCACTCCCCGCCAACCAACGCAGAAGGATCTATTGCGGCGATATAGAGCGGGAGAAAGCGCGTCGTAATGGACTCGGAGAAATTATTGGCTGCATGGGGACGAGCGAGACTTTTGGGCGTCTTGTTGTTTACTCGTGAGTTCTACTTTCCACCTCCTCTTTCAGCCTCTTCTGACTCCCACAAGTGTTATTTGCTTCTGCAGCAGTCATCTTCACAGGTCTTGTGCTCGGTACAGATATCCCGGTGAGTCCTTCTCCCCTGACGCGTACGACGTATAAGAAGCGCGACTGATCTTTGGAAAAGACTGAGAAACTACTATCCCCCTCCGTCGCCAAGACACTATGGAACCCCTCGGGCTCTCCGCCAGATCCGACTGTGGTTCATACGAAACATCTGGGAGGGACGCCGGGATATCAGGTGCTAGAGCATGTTTGGGTGGGCAATGGTACAATCTGTGAGCTGTTTTCTCGCTTGTCTTGTCTGGTGGTCCGCTGATGTGTGGGTAGATATGTATGCGCCGGATAGGTCCAAACTCCCATCGAAGAGTAGAGCAGTCAGCGGAGAGACGGGGTGGGAGGTCTTTACGCATCCGACAGGGGAGAGAATAGAACATGCGAAGAACGCTCTCAAGCTTGGAGGAACCACTAGTACGTCCTTTTCAAACTTTCTCTTCTCTAAACTTTGCCTCATGCTGATAACCAAAACAGTATTCGTCAACGACGGAGCCGATACTTCTCAATGGCACTACCTCTCCTCGTACTACCACCTCATCGGCGAGATCTTTCTGGGGAGCGTAGCGGCGATAGCGTCTTTGCCGTCGAAAGTGGGGATACCGCAAGTGGATGCGAGGGACTGGGGGGAGAGGGTACCAGCGACGCCCGAGAGGTTTATTATTCCGTGGAAGGCGGCGGAGGGGTGGAGGGATGAGGAGGGGTTGGGGGAGATGGTGTTGAGGGGCATCTTTGGGGATAGTGTGTCTTCTGTCTCGGTCTCGGTCCGGGATGAAGAGCTGATGCGACTGCAGAGTTCTTGGAACCACATGACTGGGCAGCTTTGAGTGATCCCGACAACGAGCATAATGGTTGGGTCTACTTGGAACGAGGTGAGTATCTCTGAACCATTACACGACACTGCTGATACTTGGATAGTCGTCATTACCGACCGCTGGGCATCCCATCGCCACAACCCCCTCTCCGAAGCGCTCAACAAAATGGCAGCATCCGTCTTTGCCCTCCCCCACTCTCCCTTCTTCTTCACCCCCTCCCGCCTCACTCTCCTCCCTCACCTCGGCATCAACCTCTCCCCCCACCGCCTCGCACCTTCAAAACTCTCAACAGGAGAAGGAGTGCCCAAGGTCGTGTATGTCGATAGGCAGGGGACGGATAGGAAGCTTGATGATGAGAGTCATATGGGGATAGCGGTGGTGTTGGCGGAGCTTGATGCGCTGGGGTTGGCGAGGGTGGGGCATAAGAAGATGGAGAGGTTGACGCATGTGGAGCAGGTTGAGGCTGTTGCGGATGCTGATGTGAGTCGTCTTTCTTCCTTTCCTTTCCTTTCGAGGGTGAAGATGGGGTGCTGATGGGCGTAGATAATTATTGGCGTGCATGGGGATATGCTTACGCATCAATTGTGGATGACGGAAGGCGGGGTCGTCATCGAAGTAAGTCCCTTATCAGAGTGAGGATGAGGAATTAGCTTATACGTTTACAGCTCTTCCCTCCGGACTCGTACCTCCCCGAAAACCAGATCGTCGCCGATGTCTTGCACCACGAGTATATCCCGGTGTGGCATGATGTAGCGTTGACGAGAAAGGAGTGGGAGGGGTTGCCGAGGCAGCATGGGCATGGGGCGTTGTATGATGGGACGGAGGTTACTGTACGTCCCCCTTCTTTCTTCTTTGTTTTGATCATGGGTGGGAGCTGATAGTTGGAGTAGGTGGATAAGGCGTATTTGCGTCTGCTGTTGGAGGAGGTCTTGCAGAGAATGACGGATGAGAGGGGATCATGATTCTTCTTTTGACAAATTGTAGCCTTGTAGCGTTTTTGATAGAGTGGTAGAGTGGCAAACGGCGTCAGAGTAAGGGTATGGGTGGATCAAACATTGTACGAGGTATCTTTAGCACGATCGTATCAGTGAGAGCATCTGATGTATGCATCTTGTCTCCATCTCCAGTAAGAGTCAGGGGACGAAGCGGGCCGTCATTCGAACCATCCGCTCTTGAGACCGACAAAAAAGAGACAGAGGCCGATGGCGAGGACGCCAAAGATGAGGAAAGGGGGGAGCATGTAGGAGCCGTAGCATTTTATCTCGCTATGAGATGGGGTTAGGTCAAAGAATATCCTATAGGAGGAGGGGGATGGGGGACTCGCCTTATGAGACATTCGCGCGACACTTTCGGAAGGCCCGGTCTTTTGCCTGTCCGTAATCCTTCGCCGACTACTTCCTCATCGTCTTCTTCCCCTTCGCTCGCTAAGCTTTGACCTCTTCGATCTAGAGCCTTCCCTCCAACTCCAGGTCGTATCGTATCTTGTGATCCGGAGCTGGATAGTGACTTGCTCGAATGGGACGAAGATGGGAATGAGATGCGGGATGTTGAGAGGCGGGAGGAGGTGGAGTGGTTGATGTGCGTGGGGAGGAGGGGCTGTTTGTCGCTCATTCCTGGGTGGGTAGACTGGGAGAATGATATGCAGATGGGAAGGGTGATAACATGCTGGCTTGAGAGTTGCTTGAGAGCGTCCAAGAATGACGATCTCCGTCGGCCATCGACCAAACCTCCACCAAGAAAGAGGTTACGTAAGGACAGATAAGAGCAGATTGTGGACGCGACGCTATATGGTGTATTGATCTTGCCGTCATTTGACCTATCTGTTGTTTTTGAACCTTCCAGCTCCAAGACTACCACTCTTACCCTCCCCCTTATTCCTTCAAAAACTTCTCGACGCCGCACACCATGTCCAATTCCCAGCAGACCTCGGAAGCAGGGCCGTCCTCCACTCCTGCCGCTGCCGCCGCCGGCCCTTCCACCGACATCTTACCGACAGATCCTGGCGCCATGCTTCTCAAGATTGTTCAAAAAACTGAAGATGGTCCCGAAGAAGCAAATTACCGTTTCAAGGAGGTTTTCCGGATGTATAAAGAGATCATGAAAGAGATCGATGAGTCCCGTACGCATATCTAATTGCCAACTGGGACGAAGAATGATTTGGGAGGGTGCTGATGATCTGCAGGGCTGAAGGAAAAAGAAATTAGTGAAATGGGAGATATTGCAAGCGAGGAAGAACTGCGAGGTATGTTGTACCAGGCCAGCTCGCAAGAGTATTCCGCTGATGTACTGGCCAGCGGCATACGCCAAGCTCCGCAAGCGTACCTTCGAATCGCAGAGCGCATACACTTCCCTCCTGTCCGTCGCGTCCACCCAACTCATTGAGGTATCAAAATGCTGCGTCGACGCTGTCACCAAAGCAGCCGCGTGTGAAGACGAGATGGTAGAGAAGCTGAGGGTGCTCAATCAGAAGATGGTATCAATGGAGGAAGGACAGGCGAGATTGTTGAAGGAGACTAGATCAAGGTATGTGTCGGAGAATAGAGTTTTGAAGATGGAGGCGCAGAAGTTGAGGTCGCAGGTGATCAATTTGGAGAAGGAGTTGAGAAAGGCGAAAAAGACATAGGTTGTTTTTGGAGAAGGTTGTACGTATGTTACCTGCGGGCTGTTTTGCTATTGTGTTGTAAGATGTCACATAAGGTCTCCGATTCGATTTGCATGACTCTGTACAGATACATCAACGAGGGCCGATGGCGGAAATGTCAATGGAGACGGGCAGGGGGGCCTGGGAGGTGGGGATGCTCGATCATCTTGCGACACAAGGAGAACTACTATGCCCGTCTCTGCAAGCGTGCTCTTGAAGCAGACCAGGCCCTCCCTTCCCTCGCATTCTTCCCTACCAGCCAGATGGCCAACCTATCGGAAATCCTAACACTATGCGCTGCCGCCTATTGTGATTCTCTCAGCAAAGCACAGCCATTCGAGAGCGAAATGTAGGGTCTCAGGAGCGCGTCGGAGGCAAAGTCGGGGAAGGTGGTTGAAGAGAATAAGAAGAAGATGAAGGAGAATAAGGGGATGTATGTGTCGGGGAACAGGGTCCTTATGCTGCTACGGTGGGGAAGATTAGGTATGACCGATTCGAGTTTATGACGAAAGATTGAGCGACAGAAGAATGAAGCGTTATGAAATGAGCGGCGCTGCTTGGAGTGGCAGTTGTAGTGGCTGTTGACTCTAACTACTGTAACACAATTTTGGTTCTAGGTATATGTATGGAATGTGTATGATTAGCCACATATCCACCCCAAGGATGTTGCTCCAAAAACGGAGCCAAATGGTACATCTGGCGTCGTAAACGTCGTCAAACTTCCCGCTGGCCTTCTTTGCCGCAGATCATGCGGCTGTAGTACTTGACTTACAGCCCAATAAATCAATCCTGAACCCTCAGCATGACAGAGGCAGACCCCAGCAGTCCCCAACGCCTCCCGGAAGACGTCATGTACGTCCTCTTAGGACACGTCGGCGCCACCGCCAGCCCTCCCGCTCTCGCCACCTTTTTGCGGGTCTCCCGCTACTTCCACAAGAGGCTTATTCCCTTCCTCTACATATCACCGACTCTTACCCAGGCGAACGTCTCCGGCTTTTTCGACCCGCTCTTCGATACCGACACGATTGATGACGATGAGAGGGAACACTGGTGGCAAGGAGACCCAGTGGACAAAAAGTCGGCAGTTGCGAGAAGGCTGGCTATGCTGGGACATGTGCAGTGTGTCATCTTTGAGGATTATGCCACTGAAATAATGTGCAATTCAGCGGTCTCTGGGTTTCTCGCGCAGGGTCTTGACAGCCCGCCCATGAGTTGGTACGGGTACACATCCAGCAGCCGAGACGACTCTTCTCCCGCCCGTCGTCTCCTCTTCTATGGCCGCGCTCCTACCCTCGTCCACCTCTCCCACAAGTATCTAGGAAACTTGGCATTTGAAGCATTGGATGACGAGGATCGACGGGTCCAGACATTTCAATCGATGTTGGGCCCATTTGGGGTGTTGTCAATCCAACAGCCAGCAGATTTACGGGGACTTCATCGGTTTTACGTGCCAAATTATCTGGCACCAATCTGCCGAAGGGTTGAGCCCTTCGTGCTGGTGATCAACGACTACGATAATACCGTCCTCTCCGAGATACTGTCTCCCTCCCAACGCGGTATTGCAATGCGCCTCCGGGGCAGTATGGATAGTCGGTCGATTGCACAGACTGATGAAGTCGTTGAGTTCTTGTCGTAAGTGTGCCTCAATCTACGTCCATACCAAGCTCTCACTGATGTCATCCCTCTAGAGAACACATGAAACTCACGCGCGAGCCCCTCTTCTACATCATATATAACTTTTCGATGGATGAGGCGATCTACGACCACTGTAACGGCAAACGAGTCAGAAACTTGATCCTCAAACGTGCTTTCGCGGCGGCCTCCCAATCGCCTCAAAAGAGGATCGTGAGGCTGGAGGTCATAATGCAAGGCCCGCAGTCGAATGCTGCTACGGTGGAGAGGATGAGGTATGATATATTCGAGCTGATGAAGAAAGGTTGAGGGACAGATTGTAGATCCGGGGTAACCATGGGTATCTTGTTGACAGAAAAGGGCAGTCTATCAACTCCATCTACTTAATATAGCACTATGCTAGCTGTATGGAAGGTTCTTATATGTTCTTATATACCTGGTTTTGCATACCGTACTGTGCCACCTGCATGATTTTGGGCAGGATATCAGTGCCACTTAGCCGCCGGCAGTGTACTATCGCGTTGTTTACTTGTTCCTTATTATACCGATTCGACGCGTTACAACTCTGCATACCATGATCTTCGCCTTGCCAAGTGAGTTTATACGTCATTACCGGGGTGGTTGAACGATTTTTTTCTCGCGCGTCTCGTCCATCGCTATTCACATGGCTTGGAGGTTCGTCGTTTCGCAGCGTCTCGGGCAGAAGTACACGTAGCGAGCATCATAACCATTGTGAGAGTTAATACATCGACTAAAGATCTTGATAGTTCAAGAGAGAGAGAGCGACGGCGAGGATGCCGAAGACAAGAAGGGATATAGCAGCCGTAGTATTGGCTCTTCTCGCTGCCCCAAGATAGAAAGACAGACAGATCCTGTTCTTGGTGAGGTAAAGAATAGATGATAAGCCTTTCTGACGATCTTGCTATCAGGGCTAGCCTTTTGCCTGTCCTGGGCCCCTCTCAGCCATCATCCAACATCCTCCGCAACGCATCATTTACGTAAATCGATACACAATGGCGGTCATCTATTAACTATTCCGCGTTTTGTTTGTCTCTTCTGTTTAGTCGTCCCGCCGTCGCCTCTATCCTTATCGGCAGCGTGAGCGTGTATCGGGAATAACAGCGTTAGACATACCTCGTCGCTCATCATGCTCATCTATTACCACCCCGTGGCCAATTCCCAACAACTCTCGCAACCCGTCACATCCATTTTACCCGCCTCCGTTGTCGCCGGTGTCGTCGACAGCACCCATGAAGCCAATGACGCCATCTGCGACCATTTCAGGAGCTACTACAGGATTACTAAAGACATCAACATCGCTCACACGGAGATGGAAGCGTCTTTGCTAGAGTTGGATGCTTTTGTGACCAAGGTGGGAAGGCTTTGTACGTTTGCATTGTTTGAGTTGCGGAGAGAGAGCGGAACGGCGCTGACGGAAGATTCAGCGCTTCAACAAGATGTAAATGGGCGCCTGGCGGAGAGTGGAGATGAGAAAGAGGTGCGAGGTGTGTATCGCCGTAGACTCGGTTGTGCGTTCCGCTGATGTGTTGGTATTCTCTGATCTCGCGATGCCATCAAGACGGACGAGGACTCATACCTGGGGAGTGGGGGAAAGGAGATAAGACGACATACCTGATGAAGGACCTTAATATACTCTTGGCTGCACTCGTTTTTTGGCCTGTCCTTGGCCCTCTCGGCCATCATTCAACCTCCACAGTGCAGAACTTACGTAAATAGATGCCATGATTTGTTTGTCTCTGTCTTGCCCTTACCACCCTACTTGTCAAGAGTGTACATTCGAGTCGTAGGCTTCGACAGGAAATCCGTTTCCCCTCAAGCCCGTCCACTCCGCCGCCATGGCGACTCCTCAGCAGCCCCTCCAAGCCGACCCATCGTCTGCCCAGTCCGCCGCGCACGGCCCGTCCACGCCCCCCCCGTCCCCCAGCAAACTCCCCCACAATCATCATCGACCACATCACCAGCACTGTATGGATGACGCGTCCTCCAGAGATGGGCATAGGCCCCGAGAACTCATCTGTCGAGCTTCGGCAGGCTTTTGAACGATCTATATCCTATTCAACCTCCTCAACTCCTTCTCCAAAGTAACGATCTGCGATTTCAACTTTTGCGTCTCCCGAATGAAATTCCCAATGTCCCTCTCATCGAGGTGCGAGGTGAGTAACGGCTTTTTGGGGTTTGGATTGGGGGGAGGTTGGCTGATAGATTCGATAGCGGCGTATGCTCAACTGCGTGCCCGTTCTATCCGATTATCCGTCGACTTTGAGGATCTCCTCTTTTCTTCAGCCACCCATTCAGCCCAGCTATCCAACTTTTGCTTTGCATCTGCCAGTTTGGTGCGTTGTAAGTCTTCTCTGTATTGAAAGTATGGTGCTGATGGGGTATAGGGCTGAGAGAGGAGGAGGTCGGCAAGTTGACAGAAGAACAGAGTGAGGAGGAGGTGCGAGGTGAGTAACGGCTTTTTGGGGTTTGGATTGAGGGGGAGGTTGGCTGATAGATTCGATAGCGGCGTATGCTCAACTGCGTGCCCGTTCTATCCGATTATCCGTCGACTTTGAGAATCTCCTCTTCCCTTCAGCCACCCATTCAGCCCAGCTATCCAACTTTTACTTTGCATCCGCCAATTTGGTAGTGCAAGCCTTGGCCGATCGATCTCAGGTGGCTAACAGGATGGTTGTGATGGAGGAGGGGCATAAGGAGGTGTTGGAGGAGAGTAGGCAGAAGTATGAGAAGGACATTGGGAATTACAATCGTGAGACGCAGAAGTTGAAATCGCAGATCGTTACTTTGGAGAAGGTTGAATAGGATATAGGTCGTTGGTGGAGATGGATGTACTACTGTCCCTTGTTGATCGTTATATCACATTGTAGCATGTCTTTTCGGAAGGCGGCTCCGCACAGCGGCGAGCATTATGGATTATGGACTATTAGGTGAGAGTGCAGAGTCGGATCACATGTGCTCGGGCGATTACGACATCCTCGCCATTGCCACTGAAGGAGAGAGAAGACAACTATACATTATGACAAGATCTATAACATTACACACTCCCATACCCCGCAGGAGGCGTCTCCATCGCCAGCCCTTCCGATGAACCCCTCCCCCTCGCCTCTCCCACCGCCGCACCGTCTCCTCGTCTCTCCCTTTCCCCGCCGTTGGATTCAACAAGAGGGGTCTTTTCAGCTTTGTTCCGGATGCCGGCGAGTCGGTCGGGCTTTTCATTCCATTTCTTGAAAAAGTAGACGAGGATCTGGGCGACGGCGACTTGTTGACCTGTTTCTCCCGTCAGCTTTGGCTTCTTCGAAGAGAGAGGGGTACTTGCCTTGGTACAGTACGAGAGGGATGGAGATGATAGCTTTCTCTCTTGCTGGGAAACCGCCGTACAAGATAGTCAACGTCGGCGCCCCGACGACCATCCCCTTTGCGGCGGCACAGAAACAGATGGCGGTAGCTTCTTGCTTGTCAAACCGCATCCCACTGACAAACCTCCTCCAGTAAGGCTTCTTGGTCTCGTCATACACCCTCTCTCCCCCTTCTCCTTCTCCTTCTCCGCCTTCTTCCAGAGCAGGATGAGGCTTGATCCCGAGATTGAACGATTCGGGCAAGAAGGGCAGACGGGTGCAAAAGACGCAGATGCCAGTGAAGAGAAAGTAGAGCGCGAGGTTTACAAAGACGAGAAAGATGATGGAGGCCGTGGAGATGGATTGGAAAGCGCCTTCTTCGAATTGGGTGGAGAAGGTGGTCCAGATGAGGAGGAGGAGAAGAAAGGTGGAGACTTTGGGGAGGCGGAAGGTTGTGGCGAGCCATTTGACTTGGCGGGGGAAAAAGTGGAGGATGATCTGGCCGACGAGCTGCCGGAGAATATTAGATGGGGCAGAGGGAGGAGGGAAAGGGACGTACTAGGGGGATGAAGAGGGTGAGGCCGAGCTGTTTTGCGAGATGGCGATAGATCTCTTTCAATCCCGCCGAACCTTCGTACCCGCCCTTCGCAATTGGCTGCCCGTAAGACCATGCTGAACTTGAGAAGAACATTTCGCATAGTAGAGGCGTGATGAATGTACCGAGAAGGTTTCCTGAGATACTGTCAACGAGACGAGCCAGAGAGTGATGAGAGGTACGCACCGACACAGACTTCCATCGTCGCCGCCTCCGTACTTCCTCCAGCACTCCTCGTCATAGTGATATTGCTCGCCACCGTCGTCGGCATCACACTCATGATGACCATTCCCGCTAATACATACTTGTCGATACTCTCATTGCCGGACGCTCTCACGCAATTGACGATGACAAATACGATGGCGGAGAAGAAGAGGAAGCAGAAGATTTGGGTGAAGAGGTGGAGACGCCAGTTGGCGAGGTGGTGGAAGAGGGCGGAGGTGGAGAGGGTGAGGCCGGTGATGAGGAATATGAGGGAGATGGCGCCGTAGTGGATGGAATATTCGGATCGAATATCTGTGGAACGGTTCAGAAGAGGGAATAGGGACGAGAACTGGTACTTACATCCTCCCGAAGCAGCAACATGCGGGAACCTCCAAGCTAGTACGATAGACACCCCGATACCTATCAGAAACCAGTTCCCGATTAGAAAGTCGAGTACGGCGAAGGGGTGATACCACGGGCGCTTCTCCTTGACCGCCTCTTCGCCGTCGGCTCCCTGAATAGCTCGAAGGGCATCTGCGCTGTCCCTGAGAGAGCCGGAGCTCATGATGCCGCCCTTGACGGATTGAGAGTCGAGGACGTCCGAGTCGTCCATGTCGAGGATTGCGGTTTGGGAAGATGTGGAGTCGTGGGTATGGTGCGGGGGCCGGGAAGGAGATGGCATGCCGGGTGATGGTGCGAGGGTGGAGGGCAGTGGTGGATGATGCCGAGATGGGTAGCGGCTGTCGTGTATATGCTATAGATGTAGAGTTTTTGAGATGTATAGTACAAGTACAGAGTGCCAAGAAAAACAGTCGAAATGACGAAAAGCGGATCTGTCCGATCAACATCTCGTTCCTAACCGGCCTCCCGAGTTGTTGTCGCCCAGCGTTTACCACGACCGTTCTATATCCCTCTTCAAGAGCACAATGCATGGCTACTTGGTATTATAATACAGTCCTGCTTTTGCTCTACGTTTCTAACAACCAAGATTGAGCACCAGTCTACTCTTCCTTTGCCTTTTCGTCCTCCGTCTTGTCCTCCTCTTCCTCGACTTTCTCTGTGACTTCCGCCTCTTGTTCCTTTCCATCCTCCTTCTTCCCGCCGGCATCGCCTTTGACCTCCTCCAGAACCACACTAGCAGCCTCCCCAGACACCGTCGTCTCCTCGCTCTTCTCAGCCGCAGAACCATTGGTTACTTCAGCGTCGTCCGTCGGCAAAGAAGCGGCTGGCCTTGACGGAGGAGACGGCGGAGGGGGAGACGCGGATTTCGGTGGTGCCGGGGGGGCCTCAGATGGAGGATCTTCTTTTGATGGTGTAGCAGGTGAGGGGGAATTGGGCTTTGGTGGTGTTGGGGGTGATGGGGATGAAGGCGTTTCGGTCGACAGCGCTGTTGAAGTCTCTTCCTTCTTCTCCACCACCTCCTCCGCTCCCCCTTCCCCATTATCCTTCTTCTCCTCATCGCTTCCCTTCTCACTCCCGCCAATCTCCGTCGTCTTCTCCTCGACCTTCTTCTCCACCTCCACCGGCGCAGTCTTCATGGGCGTCGTCTTGCTCCTCACGGCGTTCTCGAGCTGTACTATCTCCTGCCCTCTATCGGATAACGGTTTCAGTCGAATAGAGATGATAGCCACATCATGCAACATCCTACTCATCTTATCAGTCTTCTTCCCACCACCATCCCATCCAACAAAAAAAAAAGAAACTGACCGTTTCCTCGCCTCCTCACTCTTCAACTCCACCTTCCCAAACTCCTCACTCAGCCTTCTCGCAATAGCCTCGATAACATCCCCCATCACATGCTCCACAGTGGAGGAAGAGACGTATTTGGAGAGCACTTTGTGGAGGGTGGCGGATTCTTTGACGAGCATTTCGGCGTACGAGTTTGGGCCTTCTTTGGTGGGGGTGGATTCCCATTTGATCTCCTACAAACCGAGTCAGGTGGGAGTCAAAAAGGGGTAGTAGAAAAAACGTACGCGGAGGGAAGCGCAGTGGACGGCTAGTCGGTCGGACATGATAGCTACGAGCTTGGCATGAATCTCATTCTGATGTTCTTGATAATCCTACACCACCCCCGTCAGTCCTTCCCCTTCTTTCCCCCGTCTTCCCCGTCTTTCTAGTACGAGACTTACCCGTTTCAGCTTATCAAACTCCACCAACATAATCGCCTGCCTCTCCCCCAAATGCCGTCTCACAAACTCCCGGATATACGGGATAAGAGAGACGATGACGGAGAGGGACTGGGAGGCGAGGGCGAGGTGTTTGGCGGTGATGTTTTTGAGGCCGGCGGAACGCATGGCGCCGGCGCCGAGGACGACTTGGCATGTTCGGGAATTGAAACTCTATGACCATGTTGGTTGAGTAAGAAGAAGAGGAGAGAGGGGCGTACCTTCAAGAACTCGATGATCCTCGACATGACATCCGTCACCACCGACTCGAGGTTGACCACAATCTTCAGATAGTCCCCCAACAACAACAAACTCTCCGCCGTAGCTTTCACCAAACAATACTTTTGATCCTCCACCGCAAGCTGCTTTGTCGTCGTCTTGTCCTCTGCGTCCTCTGCGGCGATGGTTGTCTTTGGAGGGATAAAGCACTCGGCAGGATCTTCCATTCCCGCCTGAACAATCAGTTCGACCACCCTCTGTACCCCCCTCGCAACATCCACCTGCGTCCAAACCTCCTCCTCCACCGCCCGAGCACTGCTTGTCAACCTCTCCTGATGATACCTCTGCACAAACCCCCTAGCTTGCGCATTCAGGACCCCCCGGAGAGGGGTGGCAGACTTGCCAGAGAGGGACTCGGTGGAGGTTATGAAGGAGGTGGTGGTGGTGTATAGGTGGAGGAATGAGGGGAGGGGGAGGAGGGCGTGGGGGTCGGAGCGGACGGAGAGGATTTTGGAGATGCGGGTGTGGGCGAGTTCGGAGGAGGAGGCCAGGGTTTCGGAGAGGGTGAGGGTGAGGGGAGTAAGGGGGCGAGAGTCGGGGGGAAAAGATGATATTGAGATGGGGGTGATGGAGCTGTTTTCTCCGTCAGCATTGCGAAAGCGCGGAAAGCGAGCGACCCACTTTGACGACGAGATGATTTCTTCCATGACGCCCCCTATAGTCTTGACGCTTGTCAACCTCGCCAACAACGCCCCATACATCTTGTCGCAAAGCTCCATGAACTGCTCATGCTCCAACCCTTGTAACGACTGCGCCAAGCTCGCCCTAGAGGAATATCAGCTAACGCTCAGTGATGAGAGGAGGAGGCATACCCTCGCGCATCGGGATTCTTGACACCATCCTCTTCGCTCCCCGGTAACCACTTTCTCGACTCTTCCCTCACCGCCGCAGTGACCACCTCCCTCCATATCCCCTCCACCCCTCCCGCTTTGCCACACTTGAGCAATCCCTCCAGCATGGGCGCCAAAGATCCCCGAAGCTCTTGTTCCCTTGGAGGCTGGTCGAGGGGCCGAGAGAGGAGGGAAGTGAGGTATGAGGCGAGGGAGGAAGAGAGGTGGTGGGAGGTTTTGGTGATGAGGTTGGTTATTGTGGTTGGGAGGGAGGCGAGAGCTGGGAGAGTAGATAGAGGGAGGGATTCGCCGGATAGGGGATCGTAGCGGGTCCACCACCGGACAACATCTTCAACGCACCCCAACCCTCCTTCCCAATCCCCTTCTTCCACCAACTTGTCCGCCATCCCATACATCTCCTCCACCTCCCCAAGCGCTTCCACTCCTCCCCTCACTTCTTTCAACCCCCTCAACTCTTCCTGGGCGTTGATGATCTGGAGCCCACGAGACGATTGGGTGGACCCAACGGATTTGAGGGAGGTTTGGAGGGAGGTGATGTGGGTGAGGCAGGAGGTGGATTCGGAGTGGAGGTCTTGGAGGTTGGTGAGGGCGGAGAAGAAGGAGGGGGTGCGGAGGGTGATTTCGTGAATGAGGTGGCGCTCGAGGGTGTCGAGGTGGGAGGAAAGCGCTGCTTGCACCCCCGAGTCTGGGGCAGAAGATGTTGATGGAGAAGCGGAGAGTTGGGACCAAATGGAAGGGTCGGAGAGAGAGAAAGAAGGGTCGAAGAAGATGTCGGGGACGCTATCGAGCGGAGGAAGGTCGTGCAAAGGCGCAGGGGAACGAGCGTCCAGCTCTCCTCCTGCCCCAGCAGCTTTGGAAACGGCTTGACTAGCGACAAAGCTCTCATATAAAGGCGTGATGGAGGAGAGGTAGGCGTCGTATGATGCGGGGGGAGGCGGTTTGGGGAGGGGTGGTGGGGGCTGGAGAGGTGGGAGCGGTTGGCGCGAGCTTCGGAGGGGGTTGGCGCGTTTGGTAGGGTGGGCGAGTACGCCGGAGATCGCTACTCTCCATCAATACTCGAAGAAGAAGAAGAAGAACGAGCAGACATACCGTTGAATCCACGCTTCTCAACCCCATCCCCAGCCTCCGCATCAACCCCATACTTCCAGCTAACCAAATTCAAACCCGACGCGTCTTTCGGCTGGGCCCAGATAGCATCATGGGTGCCGGGGGAGGTTTCGATGAGGGAGGGGGCGGTGCCGTCTAGGTCGGAGAGGAATGATTCGGAGGGAGCGGGTGGGGAGGGGGAGCGGGCGGAGAGGGGGAGGGCGGAGGGGGGGAGGGTCATTTTGTGCTGCGCGGGAGGTGTTTATGGGCGGGGCATGCAAGTGGAAGGGGTTGGGTTGTGATGTCACGAGGAATAAGAGACGAGATGAGATTCATGAGAATGTCGCGTCCGCGTCGGCGAGGTGCGCTTCCAAGCCTGGCAACCATTCGGTCGAGGCATATTCAGTATGCATAGCATACATATCACACCATGTATGATACCTATATATGCATACGATAAAAATGACCAAGATGAGCGAAGAGCATGCATCGTCTCTTGCAAAATCACAGCTCATACGCGTTTCCTTATGTTGGTCGCTCTTTCCATGCCAACCGATGTCTTTGAAGCCTGTATATAAGATGCTGGTCAAGCTCAAACACCCGCCAACACCGAGCACCATTCTGCATATACCCCGTATACCCCTCCCCCTCGACGACTCTCAGCCCAAGACTATTCCACAAGTCCACCGTTCATACCAACACCTAACCTGTATTTTTTAACTGTTCACAACAACTCCCAGTCTAGATATCACAATGTGCATGTCTTAAAAAGCGGGGTATCGTATCGAAAAGCGAGAATGTGGTCAAGTCGTCTATGCAAATTCAGGCGAACAGAACTCTCCCGGGCCGTAAGGCTAAACGTCACATTCATCAGCACCACCCTCTATCAATAACACACAAAACAGTGACAGAGGTGCGTACCTTGGAAAGAAGGGTAGTCAAGCCAGCCGAGTTTTCAGACGTTTGGCGGGATGATTGGGGCCCGACTTGTGGCTTTTCGCCCTTGCCGAGGGCGTTGAGGATGGAGATGGTGGATTCGGGGGTGAGGTCTTCGTAAAAGTCGTCGCCGACTTGCATCACTACAACACCCATCAGCTCTTGCTCCGGCGAAAGAAGGGAGGAGGGGGAAGGGGACGTACTAGGAGCATTGGAGCAAGCACCAAGACATTCCACTTCGATAAACGTAAACTTGCCGTCCGGGGTCGTCTGACCGGGGTGGATACCGAGGTGGTTCTCGATGGTTTTGAGGATGGCGGAAGAGCCGCAGCCGCCGAGTTGGCAGGGGGTGGTGGTGCAGAGTTGGAGAAAGTTGGGGGCGACGGGTTCGCGGTTGTACATTGTGTAGAAGGTGGCGACCTGGGGGAGGGTGTTAGTGATAGGTTTGCGGTATTACGAGAGGTGATGTCAGAAAGTTAGCAGGGGCGATGGAAGGCAAGGGGCAGAGCAAAGCAAGAGGGATTGAAAGTACGCTCCCTGCGGTCGCTGTGCCGCCCACCCACCCGAACGATCACTCGCTCGTTCCACTCGCTCGAAGGACACACTGCTCGCTTCGCTCGCAGGCCCCCGTCCCACCCCCTTCCCACTGATACTATACTCCCAATGCTCGCTCGCACTCACCTCGTACACCCTCATCTTGGGCATCTCCAACAACCTCGCCACCTCATTCATCACACTAATACTCGTCCACCCCTTATTCTGCCTCTGCCCCAAATCCAGGATAGGCATCACAGCGGCCTTCTTGTACTGGGGCGGGTAGCGGGCGATGATCTCGTTGGCGCGTTCGAGGTTTTCTTTTGAGAATTTGAATGGGAGGGAGGGGTTGTTGTAGTCGGTGTCTCGGTGCTGTGGGCAGTGTGAGATGGAGTAAGAGAGTAGGGAAGGGGACGTACGACGAAGAGGGATTCGGAGAGACGGGAGGTGGTTGTGGTGAATGGTCTCTGTTCGGCGCGGAGGGCGGTGCGGAGCGAAGGGAGGGCGGCGCGGAGGGACATGGTGGATGGATAGAGTATAGTGTAGATGTATAGAGTAGAGTATAGAGGTGTCCCAATCCCCGCGCGATCACTGGCCACGCACAATTCCACAGCCCTGGTTGGCCAATATTATCCGACCCCTCTTTTCTCAATTTTCTCCCGCCCCACCCCAGCTGTTTGGTTCCCCTGCGCGCGCCTGGCTGTCAGATAGGCGCGCCTGAACAAATCAACGACAAGTCAATTCCATCTTTCGATCCAACTCGCCGTCCACCCTCAAAGATGACCCCTCGCCTACGCCTGCCCCGCCCCGCCCCTCTCCTCGCAGCATCCGCCCTCGCCCTCTGCCTCTACGCCGCCCACTCCCAGCTCAAGCCGATCCACCTCGAATCACTGCCCGTAGTCGACAAGCCGGCGGGCAGAAAATCGAAATCCGCGCCGACAGTCTTTCCGCTCTACACCCCGGTGGGATGGGGGAGTAACCGCAATCTCATCCTCTCCCCCGACTCGGCACAGAATCTCGTCAAGAAGCCTACGCCATTACCGCACCTCGGCGCGACACCTTTGAGAGACTTGGCGATCGCAGAAGAGTATGCGGCGGCGGTGGATGCGAATGGGGATTGTTGGCTCTGGGGGAAGGGGTATGATGAGTCTGGAAAGGTCGGGAAGGGGCTGAGAGGCAAGGTGAGTCTACATCTCTTGTGTTTTGGGACAAGTGCTGATATGGACTAGTCGTTGAGGACGCTTGCGCCCGCCCAATCCAAAATATTTGCCTTGAGCAAACACGGCAACCTCTACCTCTTCTCCCCCTCGAAAGCTATCCACTCCAAACGCCGCGACAAGCCCACACAATCATGGTCTTCATACCTCTTTGGCGCCGACCCTACTGTGGACTTTGTGGAGCTCAAAGCAGAGGGAGGAATGGCGTGGGGGGAAAGGTGGAAGGGGATTGATGTGGGGAAAGATCATTTATTGGCGGTTACGAGCAAGGGGAGGACGTTCTCGCTGCCGCTTACTGAGAATGGCAACTCGCATCGACAGCTCGGTACGAAAGCAGAACTTTCGGTATTCGACAATACCGCCACCCGCACCCTCCCCCCCTCCAAAGACATCCGATACGCCTCCCTCCTCTCCCCCATCCCTTCCCTCGCCAACATCCCCATCGCGCAAGTCGCCGCCGGCGAACGCACTTCCTTCGTCAGAACGCTGTCCAACCACGTCCTCGCTTTTGGCGCCAACGAAGCAGGGCAGATCGGCCTGGGCTCGAGTTATACCGTCGAAGTCGTGCCTGTCCCCGTGGAGGTCGTCCTCAGCAAATGTTATCCTACGGGCACGACGGTAGAGTGCCAAGATATCAAAGCCGGCGGCAACACCACCTTCTACACCGTGCAGCGATCTTTCCCCGGCCGTCGGGGGACCTTTATCGACGTCCTCTCTTGCGGCAGCGGGCTACAAGGCGCGCTGGGGACGGGGGCGTATACGAGCGCGACGGGTTTGCCGGTCAAGGTCAAGACGATCAGTGGGCTGCAAGAGTATTCGGAGAAGGCGAGGACGTTTTTGCCGATTGGGATTTATGATTTGGCAGTATCGAAGAGTCCGGCGGGGACGCATGCTTTTGCGGTGTTGGATACGGTGAGGGAGGGAGGGGGGAGAGAGTATGGGAGGGATTTGGTAGGGTGGGGCGCGAATAGTGAGTTGCTTTACCGTTGTGAATGTGACGGCGGCTGACGATGGGGGGTAGTTGACTATCAAATCGGTATCAGTAAGCGATCGAGTACGCCTTCGCCCATACACCTTCCTCGGCTTGGTACGAAGCTTCCGGAGAGTATTATCGATCCTACGGACTTGGAGTTTGTGGCTACGCCGGTGAGTTGTATTTGTCTCTTCAACCGTCTTCCCGGACCCCGCTCGCGCTGTCTCTTTGTTCCCCCCTTTGTTCAAAGTTGGGGATATCTTTGATCGATTCTCTGTCTCTGCACCCGTGTCCACCACCACCCCTCTTATCTATCATCCCCCCCCCCCCACCAGAACACAAGCTGACACCATCCCTCCCGAATAGCAAATCCCCCTCCCCCAAGACCGTCTTCAACTCCAACAATCCCGTACCAAAGCCTATGATCTGGAAGGAAAGTTGTTGAAGAGGGGGGTGAGGTGCGAGCAGAGGGTGGCGGTGGGGTGGGGGAATACGATTCTTTATGAGAGGATTGTGGAGTAGGGCGCGTTGGAGAAGAAGGGGAGAGAAGAGGGGAGAGCAGGGAGAGGGGAGAGGAGGGGGAAGAAGGGGGTGTATTTTCTGGGGAGGTATTGGAATGGGAGGGGAGTGGGATGGGATGGATGATGGGGTGATGTAGTTCTATATCGTATCTCATGGATCTTTGATATTATAGTGTTGCAAAGGCAGGATTGTTCCTAGGAAGAAGACGGAGAGCATGAGCTGTAGCTGTCGTCTTACGCGTAAAACTGTCTTGCCAATGGGGGCTCAGTACAATAAAATCACTTTGTGAGGTTGAAAATGCACATGGCAGGTGGAGGATATATCACTCCCGAAGCTTCAAGCGCTTAGTGAAACAAAGTGTGAAGAGGGTGAAGGGAGATACATGAAGATTGTAGAGCACCGGATGTAAAGGAAGATCACATGTCACCTGTTCCGGATTATCTGAAATCAATCTATCAACAAGTCCGGCCTCCCATAATGGAAATCCAAGACTATGATGCCTTTGATCTCTCAGAGATATGAACTGTCTCCTTCTCAGCAACGCGGTGTTGCTCTTCTCCTATGAGATAGCGTGGATGCCGAGTCTATCGCGCAAACTAAAGTACTCAAGTCGTAAAGTTCTTGCCGTGAGTGTGCCCGTTTGATATACTGAGTAACATCTCACTGACGGCATATTCCCAGTCATCATATATCTGGCGTCGTAAACGTAAACTTCCCGCCGGCCTTCTTTGCCGCAGATCATGCGGCTTTAGTACTTGACTTACAGCCGAATAAATCATTCCTGAACCCTCAGCATGACAGAGGCAGACCCCAGCAGTCCACAACGCCTCCCGGAAGACGTCATGTACGTCCTCTTAGGACACATCGGCGCCACCGCCAGCCCTTCCGCCCTCACCACCTTTCTGCGCGTCTCCCGCTCCTTCCACAGAAGGCTTATTCCCTTCCTCTACATATCACCAACTCTTACTATGCGGAACGTCTCCGGCTTCTTCCTCGGACTCGCCTCTACCGACAAAATTGATGACGATGAGAGGGAACAATGGTGGCAAGGAGACCTAGCGGACAAAAAGTCGGCAGTTGCGAGAAGGCTGGCTATGCTGGGACATGTGCAGTGCGTCGTCCTTGAGGATTACTTCACTGCAATGATGTGCAATTCAGCGGTCTCTGGGTTTCTGGCGCAGGAACTTGACAGCCCGCCCATGGAATGGTACAGGTACACATCCAGCAGCGAAGACCACTTTTCTCCCGCCCGTCGCCTCTTCTATGGCCGCGCTCCCATCCTCATCCACCTCTCCCACAACTTTCTGGAACTTTTAGTACTTCCCCAATTCGATCACGAGGATGAACGGGTCCAGACATTTCAATCAATTCTGGGACCGTTTGGGGTGTTGTCGATCCAACAGCCAAAAGATTTATGGGGACGGCGTTGCTTTTACGTGCCAGATTATCTGAAACCAATCTGCCAAAGAGTTAAGCCCCTCGTGCTGGTGATCAACGACTACGACGATATGCACCTCGCCGGAATACTGTCTCCCGCCCAACGCGGTATTGCAATGCGCCTCCGAGGCAGTGTGGACACTCGGTCGATTGCACAAACTGATGAAGTTGTGAAGTTCTTGTTGTAAGTGTGCCTTATTTTGCGTCTATACCAAGCTCTCACTGATGTCATCCCACTATACAACACATGAGACTCACGCTCGAGCCCCTCTTCTACATCATATATAACTTTTCCATGGATGAGGCGAGCTACGACCACTCTAACGGCAAACGAGTCAGTAACTTGATCCTCAACCGTGCTTTCGCGGCGGCTTCCCAATCGCCTCAAAAGAGGATCGTAAGGCTGGAGATCATAATGCAAGGCCCTCAGTCGGATGCTGCTACGGTGGAGAGGATGAGGTATGATATATTTGAGTTGATGAAGAAAGGTTGAGGGACAGATTGTAGCTTTGGGGCGGCCGCGGGTATCTTGTTGACTGAAAAGGGCAGTCAGTCTATCAAATCCTTCTACTTATCATACTACTATGCTATCTATATGGAAGGCTCTCATATATTTCTATAAACCTGAATTCACATACCCTACTGTGCCACCTGCATGGTTTTGGGCAGGATATAAGTGCCACAGACCAAATCCCACCTTTCCGTGAATCAGCCCCATATCGTTGCGAGCCGATATTGTTCGCAGCTCGAACATCATCTGCACAACCTCGACATGACGGATACAGACCCCCCAAAAAGCCCATTCCTGCCCGACGTACTCCTTATCATCCCCGAGCTCGTCGAATCCACCGCGAGCCCCCCCACTCTCGCTTCCCTCGCCCGCGTCTCTCGATCCCTTCACCAAACATTCATGCCTCCTCTACAAATTTATC